AAAAATTTAAATTAATTTTAAATTTACAAATTTATCTTTTAAACTTGTAATGGAGAAGGATATAATAAAAAAATTAAGGTTAATTTTGTAATTACATTTAACCTAATCTAAACAGCCATTTAAATCCTTTCCAAACCCCCCAAATCGGACGGATTGCCAATCTGCAAATTTGAGGGTGGTTGGAGGGAGTCCGAATTAGTCCATCTCCCTCCCCCTCTGCCTCTTTGGAAACCCAAACAGGAGGAAGGAGACAGTCCCCCCTCGCTCCCCCTCCCTTGCCATTCGTCCCCATCCCTTCCCCTCCCTCTTCGTCCGACACCTCCAATCCAAACAATACCTTAATGTTTTTTGAATTGTTTGTCCGATGGAGAAATGAAATTAATGAATAATTTCACATAAAGCCGAAGAAGGGAGCAATTTTTCTAAAACCCAGATTTGGGTTTGAGAGAGGAAGAAGAAGGGAGAAGAGAGAGAGAGAGAGCGAGAGAATAAGAAGAAGAAAGAAAGATGAGCAGAGAAAGTAAGGAGGAAAGGAGGAAGAAGATGAAGTTTAAGAGAAAACCCAGATCTAGGTTTGCAGAGGTAAGAGAAGAGGAAAGGTAAAGGAGAGAGAAAATGAAGGAGGAAGAAGAAATCTGATGTGGGTGAAAAAGAAAAAAAGAATTATTATTTTTAAATTATATGTTTTTTTTCATGTGGGTCCCACAAAAGTGAATCTGAAAAGTGAGGAAGCAATCTGACGTGGAAAAATGCCAGGTATCAAAAATGTCCTTGCTGGATTTACACGTCATTAAAAATAAAAAAAGTCGGTGATTTTGTGGCATTTTAACGGGCCACCTGGCGTTTAACTGACGGAAGGACTATTTTGGTACCAAAAATGAAAGTTCAAAGATAATTTTGGTACTTTTTAAAACTGAGGGACAATTTTAGTACCAAAGTGCAAAGTTGAGGGACCAAAATGGTACTTAAACCATTGTTTAATTTTAACCAAAATTGTGTTCATAATTAATTCTGTCCTATCTTTTTTACATTTTTAAGATGCATTAA